GCTAATACATTCCAAAATGGTGTTTGCATGGTTGTTTGTGTGGGTGGTGTTTGTTAAATTGTTGACTCCTATTTGGCTTGTGGTTCACAGTGATCCCTAGACCTCTTTCTGCAGTTCTCCTTCCTAAGTGGAGTACTTTGTACTTGTCCTTGTTGAATTTCAGCCTGTTTACCTCAGACAGTTTGTCCAGGTCACTTTGGATTACAACCCTTTCCTCCACCGCCCTTGCCACCCAGCTTGGTGGTATCTGAAGACTTTATAAGAGTACTTTCTATATGCCGTTATCTTAACTATCATTGAAGATATTGAACATAACTGGACCCAGAATTGATCCCTGTCAAAAACAAAGCATCATTTATTGGTGCAACTGCTGTTGGTGACACCAGTTTTCAAAGGTATACAGTTCTCTTTTTCTAGTCTGATGCTGTGGTATGAAAACTGTCAACTTAAAAAACAATTCTGAAAACTCCCTAGCTCTTTCCTGGAAATATCATCATCCATGCGGAGGTGTCAGGACACCCCTAGGCGGATTCCTTCAAGGTACAAAAGAGTTGTTAAACCAGTAAATATTTCCAGGTAATGTTTACAGCCAGACATTGCAGTACTAAATACCTGAAAGTGAAGCTTACTATAGACAAAAGTGAAACTGATTTTCATATTAGATAAAAATGTATCGAGTGATTTTTAAAGTGACTGGGTGCCTTTTGAATAGCTCTCTCTCTCAAACATAGAAGTGAATTAATGAGTCAACTTGTTCATGCAGATGAACTGTGGATTCTTTAAAACCACTAAGGCTCTGCTTTGAAGGCTAAGGTTGGGTCCACCGTGGCCAATTAATTTTAGTGATTAAATGTTTGTTAAATGTTCTCATTATGCCAGCATTAGCAAAATAGCAAGCAGTTTATTTTGGCGCTCTTGGTTGGGGCCCTTCTCTTGTTTGGAGCAGTGTTGGTGTGTTTTCTCTGCACTTTATTACACTTTCAACATTTGGGAGTCTCAAAATATGCCTTTTATCTGGCATTTTTTCACATATCAAAGATAAAATTTAACACGTTTTCATTTGTAATAAAGGTGTAGCATGGAGAAGAGTTGATCAGACTTCTCTGTTTCCAGACCCCAGTCTCCTGACTGGTCTCGGGATTACAAGAGACAAGTCTGCTGTGGCAGAGATCAGTATTCACAGATTCCAGTCCCCTGCTTAAGCTGTGATACTCCCAGCAAGCCAGATTGCCTAAACAGACCGGTAGCATTGCTTTCTTTTTGAAGGCTTACAATCAGCAAGAATGAAGTCAGGCTAAGATATAGTCACAGGTATTTTTAGTAACAGTCATGGACAGGTGATGGGCCGAAAACAAAAATTCACAGCCCATCCATGACTTTGACTATATACCCCTGACTGAAACTGGGGGAGCATGGCTCATGGAGATGGTGCTGGAGTGCAGACCTGTGGGGTTGTGGGAGGGCGTGGCTCGCGGAGCAGTCGGCAGGGCTGGGGCAGGCTTCTTACCTTTTTCCTAAGAAATGGCTACTCTAACTCCTAGCTTCACATGCTGCCTTTTCTTGCCCCATCCCTGCAGCTCCCATTGGCTGAGAAGCATGGCCAATGGGAGCTGAGAAGGCCGCATGTGGATCCAGGAGCTTAGCCCCCAAGTAAGCACCACCCTGCACCTCACCCTCAACCCAGCCACCTGCCAGTGCGCCTGATCCGGGAGGCTGCACAAGTCATGGAAAGTCAAGGAATCCGTGGCCACCATGACAAACACACAGCCTTAGTGACAAGTTCTCTCACAGCCCTATATCCACAATCGCATTTCTTCATTAAAAACAATACAAGTATTTACAAGCACCTTCGTAAGTTTGCAATCAGCCCATCAAACTCTACCAGGGGAGTTCTCTAGGTCTGCCACTCCCATTGGCTGAGAACTAGAGAACTGGTTTGTTGCAGTGGTGTCCTTTCTACCAGCAGAAGTTGGTCCAATAAGATATTAGCTCACTCATCTTGTCTAGCTGCAGGTTCGTAACAGGCCAAGCTCCAAACTAGCAGATCTATGCCTAGATGAGTCTTTCCTTTATACAGCTTGGGCCTTTGATACTGAGAAACTCTGGGGCAGGTTCTTAGAGATAAAGATCTTCTCAAGCTGTAGCCTCAAAAGGCTGGATGTTTACATAATCAGGGTGGAAATGCATCCACCTTGCCCAATGGCTTCCCAGGCAACCCCCTTGGCACAGTTTGCCCCACAAATCCCATTCTTTAGCCTAGGGGTGAGTGTCACGTTGGCTTGCTGGAGGAAGTCCTGAGTCTCCCTCCCTCCCCCACAGGGCTGGAGTGCAAACCTCCATGCCCCCCACTTGTTGGGAGCAGCTCAGTGAGGTTGTTTAGTTGGTTCTCATTCACGTGTAGCTTCTGAGTTGTTTTCCTGTAGGCCCCAGGGCCCCTGACTAGAGAACAGTTCCACACCCCTGCTTTAGCACATGGGTCAGTGCCCTTCTTCGAAGCTCATACACCTTCCCAGCAATCGTATCCCCATTTCCTGCTCAGAGAGAAGTTCCACACAGTGCCAGGCTACAATAATAAGAAAACCACTCAGTCTTCAGTGGGCCCGAAACGTACTCAAACTTAATTCAATAAGCTCTCCTAAGGCTATTGCAGGACATTGCCATATCTGTCAGTGTCTGTTACACTCCATCGAGCGGATGTAGATTGATGCCAAAGGATGAAAAACCAGTGAAATTTGCAGGATCTTAGAAAGGAGTAATCAATCAAAAAAAAAAATGAGAAATGACAGCTGAGGAAGGGGTCAGAGTGGATCACAGACTACTATGAGTCAACAGGGTAACACTGTGGGGCAAAAATTGGACCTCGTTCTGGACGTTTTAGCAGGAGTGTGGTACACAAGCCATAAGAAGTAAATTTTCCGCTCAAATCTGTGTTGCTTATGCCTCAACTGGAGTATTGTGTCCATTTCTGGGCACCATACTTTGGGAACATCGTGGAGAAATTGGAGAACGTTCAGAGGAGCACAACAAAAAATTATAACGGGCCTAGAAACATGCCCTGTGATGAAGCACCGAAAAAACTGGATTTGTTTCATTTGCAGAAGAGAAGGCTGAGTGGGGGCCCTGAACAGTCTTGAGGTACATAAAAA